ACGGTATTAAAGTGTTACTGACACTATTTTTGGTATGCCCTAAGTAGAACAATAATAAAAGAAAGATAGTCTATGAATATACTGAAAATATTACAATAGATTATAAACAAAAGTTTTTCTTGTAATTTTCATTATTATTCTGATAGGATTCATTCATTTTTGATGGTTTAATACCCCACAAAGAATCTACTTCTAAAGACAATTATAAAAGAGAACGTATATAGTTATCAAGTAACATATACATTATTGAAAAGTCGAAATTGATGAAATATTTTAGAATGGAGATAGAAACTGTTACAGGCTTCGGCTTCAAAGCGTTTTCCTTCCCCTCTTCCTCGGTTATGCCTATGTTTTTCGTTCTCTTTGTTCGTATATTCTAGTTGGTTTTCTTTCGTTTTATCACCCTTAAGACCGCGACCTCTTTTCCCTCATCTTCTCTCGACATGATTGCGTTGTCTCTTCGATGTGATATCGTCTTCTGAGATTTTTTTGCTTTTTTATTTTTTACTACAGAATCTACTCTAATTTATTTAATCTCGATTTTTCTCTCGAATATCGATGTCACATATGCATGTAGTTTTCGACGTTCACAAATGAAAAGCAACGTATTGCATTAGCTCGTGCTCTTCTCAAACAGCCTACAATCCTTTTGTTGGATGAAGCAACAAGTGCACTTGATAATGTTAGCGAAAACATTATTCAAGAAACACTCGATCTCCTTTCTCTTAGTTATATGCTCGTACGACAACTTCTGTACCCACACCCACACCCAGAAAACTTGCCGTGTTCATAAAATTCTCGAGCAACTTGACCATTTTTTCTCCTGTCATTTTCGATAGAATCAATAAAGCGACTATATATTCATAGTGGCGTAACTTCCAGAACTTTTTTCTGATTACTACCTCTATAACAGAATGATCGCTGCTCGATATTGCAATTGTCTGCTTTAGGGATGCACCAGTTCCAGTCTGACGGGTGCATCCATAGTCTGCTTCTGAAAAACTGTATTTGATGCTTAACATTTTTATTATTAGGTTGGACTCGCACATTGAAATTGCAAATGCTTTTCGGGCCCGAGCATGTGTAGATCTAACCCGAGTTATGTCAAATTACGTAGATCAATTTAAAGAAATATGACGATGAACGAAATTCACACTCGTCCGAGCGAGCACAAAAACTCGGTTGTGATTGAAAACCTCAATAAGCAGTCATCTTTAAAAATATACATAAAAAAACGAAGTAATGCTCTCGTTTGTTTTCTACTGTTTAAAATAACCACGAGGAAGGGCTTTTAGAAGCTGAACCCCTCAGTAATCGGTTGAGCATTCCCATTGAAAAAATCCTGGCTACACCACTAGCTGAGAGTACTAAAAGGACAGAACCAGGTCCTCTAATGTGTCAATCTCTTTACACTTACTCAAGTACATCGAAAGCCTCTTGACTAGCATGGGCTTGAATAGTTTTTACTGGTTTATTCGGTGTTTCAAAATAACTTAGACATGAAACTTGACCAATTCCAGATTTTTTTAAATTGCATATTTTTGGCGACTCGTATATCTAAAATGACAAAAGTCGAATTCATTATGTGTTATTTAGTCGGATATTAGGAAGTTAAGTTGGAATTGCAAACACTTACACAATATATGGATTTTAATCAGAGTTATTTTTCTTAATCGAACAAACTGCCTATATTTTTTAATACTCAAAAAGAAAAATAAGAAACGTAATAACTATCCTATATAAAACTGGAAACGACAGAGCGAGATACGAAAAACAGCTAGTAGTATATTTAGCAACGAATGAAAGACATGTACAGTGATCTCCATTTCTCTTCCATAGGAGATGAATAAATCTTTGCTAACCTCAATTGTGTGAACTTTATCTTCCAATTGTTAAAAGTATCAAATTGTAGCAATTTTTCAGAGATCTCTTCAAAATACGACATTGTTGTTTGGCTGTAGATACATCAGAATGATCTTTTCAATTTTGAAATTTTCGTCTGAGCAACGGTTCTATCAGAAGGGTTTGACCTATCACGGAGAAAATAATTGGGAAAAAGAGAAGATGTCCTTCAGATATCAACTTGAAACGGAATCAGTCTAGTGTTTTGTCACGTGACGGCATGCACTAGATTCTGAAACTTGTCCTACGATGTTGAAAACGTATGTTAATCCTCCTATGTTCAGAAATAATCGAGCACCTGTAATTAATTCATCATTTCATGTCAGGGTAGACTGGTTCTCTAGCAATAGGTTGACACACTACTGCATAGCCCTGAATTTCTGGTATCCATTCTTCACCCTTATTGATAAGATTCGATGGTAATGGAAACCATGGTTGAATTTCACGGAGACTTAAACCATTAGCAAACCATGTAATCGGGAACGAGCCTGCGTCTTTCATTGGATTTGTTCTGTACCAACAATTGTTCTTCAAAGAAAAACAATAGAATTATTTAAAGAGAAAACAAATAAAAACTGTTGCCTGTATACCTTTGTCTGTTCTGGATAATCGGGATTGAAGTTGAACATTGTATAATCCTGCGAAGCCGGCTGCAAAAAACAAATTCACGTATTTTATCCATAAGAAGAAACACTTCTTTTTTCTTACTGTATCTGCTTCAGCACCTTTGGATTTGTATTTAACCATATAAGTTTCATTTTGTTTCAATCGCCAGCTTTGGATGTCAAAACGAACTCTTGAATTTGTGGAATCATACAATAAGTGTTGAAAGCCTAGAGTTGGTATTGACCATGGCTGTAATGCAGTAATATTCAATGTTGCTTGAAATTGTTTTGGAAAACCTGTTTGACTTGAACACTGATTAATGAATAAAGTCACCAACAATAAGTAGATTGCTTGTGTCATTTCGACCATGTTCGTATTTCACAACAGTCATGTCACAAAAAACAAGTGCTTTATATATTCTATCAAGAAAATAAGAAAAGAAAAATGGCCTTACAAATACAAATGCATTTTCTCTCATCATCATGACAGATAACATGTTGTCATTAGAACTGTAATCTGATATATATAACTTAAGTATGGCTTAAGTTAAATAGCCGTATTTCATTTTATGAGCGGTCTTCAAGTGCAGATTTTCTATATCATAGAGAGCAACCGATATTCTCATTCGAATTGAAAGCATGCATGATGACCGGCGTAGAAACATTTGAATATGAACTGTTAACGAAAAAACAAGGTGTATGCTATGACTCAAACGTTATTAAATGACAAAGTAATGTTGTCATATAAATTCTATTCACAAACAAGTAGGCCAAGATGATGGTGAATTTGCTTTTTCTTACAAATGCAAATCTGGAACTCAGCTCTATCGCCAAAAAAAAATAGTATATCATTTAATTCAAATATAGTAAAAATATTCGAATTTTTTATTGTAGAATTATTTATGACGATGATTGCTCGTGAACAGACAAACCCACGTAAACTGGCAACTCCTGTCGAAAGTCTTGGCACGATATTAAAGAGCATATAACTTGATTAAGAAGTGCTCTTTTTTTAATCGGAACGTGGGTGTGGGTGAGTGTAGGTGGGTTTGAGTGTAGGTGTGGATATCGGGTGCAGGTGGGTGCGGGTGTAGGTGTAGGATATCGGTGGTTTTGGGAGCGAGTGTGGATCTGGGATGTCGGTGAGTGTAGGTAGGGGAAAAGAGTAGATCGATACTAACGCCCACACTCACCCACCCACATCAACACCGAAGTTACGTTCGAAGTATGTGAGTCAATTGACTAAAAATGATATTTTTTTCCAATACTGCTCCACTAGTTTTTCTCACATTTTTTTGTGTTTGATTTCCTATGCACATAAAATAATGACATGATTGCACTCAGGTATAGATCGTATAATGGGTCATCAATAACAACTCTGTTTCATCTGTGATCATCCTTTGGAAAGGAACAACGGTGCTGCTACTCACATTGGATATAGATATGGAGTGTCGGTTCATATGGGTGAGCAGCGGACTGATACCGATACCCACACCCAAAATGTATTTATGTCTATGGCGCACGAGCAATACAAAACACAAGATCAAACGAATTTAAAGCGATATTCATTAGGTAAAGGTACAGAAAGCCTCTCTACTATCAAAAATAAAACTGTTTTTATACTTCAGCTGGTGTGCAATTATTTGCTCAACATTTCACTTTATTCACCGAATATCTTTGTGACGATTATCTTGAAATACTTCGATGTATTCGTCCATGATAACGATCATGTCAAGAAAATAGCTCAACGTGTTTATGGTACTTTTTTACTTAAAGTAAAAAAACAACTTAGATTCTTCGATTTTTTTACGTTTTTAACTTTATTGTATGTTGCTGATGCATTAAAAGAAACAAACATAAAAAACCATGGTGAATGTGTGGGTGTAGGAAATGACTGCTCTTAATCATCATGCACACTCACACCTTTCTGAGTATGTGCATCATTTGTTACGTGCACATTCTTCAAGCAAAAGCAAAAAAATTATTGCACAACATCGTCGAAAGTATCGCAATAGAATGCAATTACTTTTATTCATGCTGCAATAGAATATATCATATGAAAATCATTAGGTTGTGAAGGCACACAGAAATTCGTCAGTGAAAGTGAGTTTTCTAACATTGCTGAAGGGGAAAAAAACGAACAATTTGCATTCACAGTGATTTAATCTTGTTCGAGACATAGTATCAATACTAGGCGACTTCAATACACTTCATTGATGGTATTAGTCTTGTTAAAAAAATTCAAGAAACACGATCATGTCATTCAAGGAAATAGAATGATGATCGTTATTTATGAGCGTCTGCGATTGATGTTTTGTTAATTTAGTAAAAATGATGGCATGAGATAATGAATAAGATGCTTCAAGACGTAAATTTTGTTGAATATAAGACAGAAACAGAAGTTCTGCTAGTAAATCAGAATTATAATATTGATGAATTGAAGTCTCTGTTTGAAATTTCTTAGTTTTTCAAGTAGATATTTCAACTACAAAAATGACTTCCACGGTAGTAAACAATCAACATGTGATTCATGCGGAGTATAAGTAAGATTTTTTGTTCTATTGATAAGAAACGATAGCGAGAGCATTGCTACAAAGTAAAATAATATTATAGGCCACTATCAACATCATCGATCCCTGTATATTGGAGCAATCGAGCAAAGTTTATTCACATTGATTTGACAACTAGCAATGATAACTGTAGTGAAGGTATTACTTTAGCAGGGTTACAAACTGCTCTTTCAAAATTATTATCAATTCATAATGTGGAACTCTACACTGATTCATTACGAGATAGTTATTTAAGAAATGATGATGCTATTGATCCATTGATATTATCGAATGAAATTCTATTTCTTAAAACACCAGGTTTTCATCGCATACCAGTGGCCGAACAGATAATTACTATCAATATTCGAACTGTTTGGCAAAAGATGACACCATTTACAATCACATGTTCAAATAGGATCACAACCAAGGAATTAAAACAAATGATTGAAATGCAAAATCCATTGTTGAAGGTAGAACATCAAAGATTAATTCATGAAGCGCATTGTGTTGAAAACAAACGCTTATCGAATATTGATTCATATTTAGCTGCAAAAAAGTTAGCTTCACTTGCAAGTTATCGTTTTTTCGATGATGGCCTACTATTGAGCGAGTGCGGCATTAATAATAATACAACTTTATATGTTGTCCGTTCTAAATGTACCAGCAGACAGACAACAGAAACAATTGCAATGTTTCCAGTCGATTTACAGATACATGTGGTAAATGTCGGATCACACTATGAAGATAAAATGATCACAACAATCAATTGTTCAACAGATACAACAATCCGGGGACTGAAATCGATGATTTCAAATCAAATTATTGGTGTTGATAATCGAATTATCGTTTATGGTGTTCAAAGGTTAGATGAAAGAAAACGACTAGCAGATTATAATATTGAAAATAATGATATTCTATTTTGTCGAACACCATTCGTCGGAGAAGTCTTCGTTAAAACTTTAACAGGAAAGACTATAACAGTTAGCATTGATTCCGAAGAAACGGTTGATTCATTTAAATCAAAAGTGGAAAGTAAAGAAGGTAGTGTTAATATCAAGTTTGATTTAACAAATATAAGACTAACATTTTCCTTTCATATAACATTGAAGGTATACCAGTTGATCAACAACGAATTATCTTTGCCGGAAAACAATGGGAAAATGAACGCATATTGTCGGATTATTTCATATGCACTGAATCAACAGTTCATCTTGTGCTAAGGTAGTTCCGTAATGAAAGAGATCGGTGTTTATATTTCTCTTTTTGAAGGCTTCGTGGTGGTGAAGATAAGTCTACGGAAGCTTCATTTGTTGATCTATCAGATGAAAGTAAAATTAAAAAAATTGAATGGAGCAGCGAAGCTCCACCATGGCGTACGGCCAATGTTGGTCTTTGCTTGGAAGGTAAAACTGGTGAATTTGCGATATTACTAATTGCCCCGATTTGTTTTTATTCGAAGGTAAATGCAAAAATTCATCTTGTAAAGCATTCAATTGCTCTGTTATTATCAATAAAGCAATGGGTACATTTGATTTTATTAATAGTAAGAACACCACTTGTCCACAATGTCATGCTCATGTGGATGTTCTAACATGTGCATTCAATAATTGTCAATGGAGATGGTCCGGAATCAAGCGTGAACTGGAAACTGATCAACTAGTTCAAATTAGTAAGAGAGATTGGACAACAGCTGATAATAATTATAATTTATTTGATTTGGAAAAAGAAATCGATGATGGTGGAGCTAAATTGGTTACTTGGCAAAAACTCATCATTCAGACTAGGAGAACACAATACAACGATGACTGTATTATATGTCTGGAGAAATTTTCAGAAGAAGAACAATCGCAATTAACAATAACAAAGTGTAAGCATGTATATCATAAGGAATGTTTACAACAATGGATCGAGGCTGGTGGGGATACATGTCCATTTTGTCGGCAATTTTTGATTATATCTTCCAAAGACGATAATTGTATAACAAAAAAAATTCATTGAATAATGAAATAATTCAACTAAACAATTAACATATTTATCCTAGAAGAAAAAAAATATTAAACAATCACGATATACGAAAAAAAAGTTTTTTTAAAATTTTGTACCACTATCATTTATATTAAATTTGACGTTTCAATATAGAAATTGATTCCTATTTTCATCATTCATGAATACAAAACTTCTATAAAGCAAAAAAAGATCAAGAACACGATTGAGACTAACTAATTAGTTGATTATATAGTCTGATCCGTATCAATTGCTTGCTTATGTTTCTAATGAAGAAGATTGGAAGATGAAACAAAAATTATTTGAAAATGAAATTATTTTGAGACTGAAATTTTCCAGTTAACACCCTGAAATATTCAACATCTTGAAAAGCATAATTCTTGATCAATTGAAGAGAAAAGAACATTGACGTGCGCCTTATTATATCAGTGCTGATAGAAATGTGACAGTTAAGTTCATTTCACTTTAACACGCCGATAGAAAAGGATGTTCTCGTGAATGTTTGTCTTTTCCTTAAGCTCTCACACCCACATCCTGTCATGGCTTGCAGTCTGACGTACTCTTTCAAACAAAGAAAATTAAATATATAGAATGAAGACCTACAGAGAATTTTTGGGCTACCGAGTGAATTATTGCTGTCCCTTGTTTTGGTGAATACCTCCCTCAAACATCTTTCTATAGGCCCGATAATTTTATCATAGTCTTTCCACGACACTCCTATCATATTCTGAAAATTTCATGCGATTTGCTTGTTCCTGGACTAAAATCGATTTTGAAGAAGAATGGAGTGACTTTACGTATCTCAATACTTTTTGGACTACCTCTATAAAGGTTCTCAGAATTATTATATAAGTCTAAAAGATAAGTACATTTCAGTTCACCAAAATTGAATATATGCGAAAACATCTTTTTAATCCGTCCTATTCACTGGCTAAGAGATACAGGCATATTGTTTCATAAGTAAAGACTAATATATTGTTATAACAATCAAAGTTTGTCTAAAAGAATTTTATTTTCTTCGATAAAAGAGAAAAATTAGAAAGGTTTTGATGAATATGTTTTTTGAAAGTAGTATAAAAATTGTTTTATATATATGTAGAACGGCAGAAGATAAAAGAAATTGATAATATAGACAAGGATGCAGATAACAAATGATTTCGTGTTTTGTGGAGATGAACTTATAGAAGTAATATCTCTACACGAGATACAACATTTCCTTTTCCTATTATCGTTCGCATTCTTTGATATTCTTCGCATCTTCGATTTTATAAATGTTTCATAGCACTAAATTACGGTAATACTATATGGAGTTAGGGGATATTGAAATGAATAGTTTCTCTTATAGAATGATATTCGTTAGTGTATATCAAAATCTATTTATTTTACTGAGATTTGAATATTGCCAAGTGAATTTTCATAAGAGAATTTCTCTAACACGATGTTCAACTATTCGTAGAAATACATCGATTGATTCAAATATTGTCCTCATTTTGCTTTTTCATCAAAAAACAAGACTCGGTAGTGTTTTTTTTTCATATATTTTCTGTTCGGGTAGGTAAACGAAAAAGCAAATATATCGCCCCCATTGAATGAAATATTGATCATTCATTGGGTGATGTTTGCTGATCGGACGCCATCGTTTGCTTGAATATCCTAATTAAATTCAATTATTTGAAAAGAAGACAATTGATCAATATGTTTTATTCTAAAGATTTTTAAAATATTTTTTTTTGTCATTTTTTACAGAAGAGAAAAGAAAGAACCTTGAAAATTAATATGTCTTGTAACATTTCTCTCCGTTATTTCATTTATTTTATGTTTCAAATATCAAAATGTTATATTTCTTCGATACATTATTTTAAACTCGAACAGTGTCCGCAACGTATACAAGGACAAATTTCAGCATTAATTATTTAATCGTATATACATATCTAATAGATTTTATTTTTTAAATTCTATTCGATATGTCTTGTGTCAAGTGAAAGCAAATACTCAATAACGCATTTTACTCTTTGATAAAAAGCAAAGTATATTATTCTGATGTAGAACTCATTTTGATTCATAATTTTGTGATTGGTTTTATTATTAATTGAAGAAATTCAACATTGGCATACAGTATGTATGTGTGTGAAAAGTATTTTTCAGTATGTGCTGTTCTTTGCTCGTGATTTAGGGCTTTCTTCATCATTGTCCATTGGGTTAATTAGATAAGAAATCATTTATTGAATATTACAAAAAATGCATTCACGAAAAGAAAAAAATAAGTCGTTCGAGTAAATCGGCAAGTCTCTCTCTTTTTTATTAATTATTATTTTATATGATTTTTAGTTCAGAAGATATGAGCTATTGTGAGTCTTCATAGTCTTGATAATATTGTATTTGTCTAAAATTTAGTATGATTATGCTAGTATTATTGATCGAAAAAGTAATCAACATCCAAAAAAAAAATACGTTCTCACGAAATCACTGCTAAATTCCACATTAGTGGTGATAAGAAACTGAGTAAAGAAGAATTTACTAATAGGTATATTTTATTAATCGAAATATATTTGCACATTAGTAATATCCGCTCAATTTAAGATGTCAAAATGATCCAGGTGTTGGTAATCTATTTACTCCTAATACGTAACTGTTTCTCGAAAAAATAATTTTTTTTTTGGTGATTCTTAGTAGGTTCAAATAAAACGGTACATTTCATAAGTTATTTCGATTACAATATTTCATCAAAATTAATCAAAAATATCCTAACGAAAAATTGAAGCGCAAATATAAAATGCAGCTATACCTTTACCATAGATTTTATTGCTCTCCATTTTCTTCTATCGATTTTTGATGTTTGGCGAATATTCAAAAATTTTACAATATATATTATTGGCACTTTCAACCAAATATTGCCTCTCGAGTTTATATACTCTTGTTCGAACAAGTCTCAATGCTTTATTAAACTGAATATTTTACAAAAACAAAATCAAGTCGTGTTGACTACTATATAAACAAACGCGAGAAATTAAAGATAGAATATTAACAAATTAGGTGAAGATAAAATGTTCAATCGTGCTTTTAATGTATGCTCTGAAATATACTGGAAATGAAACACATATCAAGAATTCTATCGGTTATGAAAAGTGAAACGCCGATGGATACATGAATTGAACAAGTTTATACATACTTTTTGATACGACATGGACACTTTCCATCTTTTCTTAGCCAAAAGGTTCATTGATGAACCATGGCTGTGCTAATCGATAATACACACGTAATAGACGACTGGAAAAATGTGTTGATTCATGACTTTGAACATTATTCTAACAACTACTCATGATACCATTGACAAATAATGTACCTGTAAGAATAGAAATACAATGAAACAATGAATTCAATCAATGGACTCTTACTACTCATTGTCAATGGTGCACAATAAGCAGATTTTATTTTCATAATTTTATTTGTAACTGTCGGTGAAATAAGTTAACCATTAGACATAACATAAAGAACATCATCAATTTTAATCTGTTTAGCTAAAACATAGTTTACTGTAATATCATTGTCGATGATAGGAATCAAGTAAAGTTCAGTAAGGCTAACGTTATGTTCGGATGTAATAGTAATAGTATGAAACAGCTAAACAAGAGAATGTTAAGTATATGTGATATTTGTTTCTACATTGTGAGAATCTTTTTTTTCTCAAATATCATCATCATCATCATCATCATCATTTGAGTGGTAAAAATGGTAGATCCATCTGTTGCTAATAATTCATCACCAAGTTGAACTTGTTCAATGGAAATTTGTTTCTGACTGGTCAAGGTGATTAGTGTATCATTAGCAAAACAAACTGACTCTGGAAAAGACACAGATGACGCGGATGATTTGGATGAAACTACATCTAAGATAGTTTAGTTTTGGCTAAATTCTTACATCGAAATCCTTCGCTTCTTTTCGAACGAAATGTTAGTTGATGATTTGAGAAGTTATATACCTAAGTACGGTTGAAAGATGAAAAAGAAAACATACAATTCCGAATGAGTAGCCTATGCAAGAAAATCAAATAATTTTCCAACCATTCAAACTTTTGTTTATTTTATTACACGAATCAAGCACATTATTTTTTTCCTCCATTGATGCATTAGTTTGTTGTGATATTGCTAGAATTCGATTGACTATCGATCGGAGATGTCCATAAACCTATCTTTCATTTTTTGAGAAATATTTCGTTCCCTAATCTATCGAATACATTTTCGATGGATCCTGTGCTACAGCACATCCTAACTAAAAAAAAGTTTAGTAATCTTTCCAACTGTTTTCATATTTTCTATCGATTGTTTGTCGACAATAGGGTATCGTGACAGAATAAAAAATGTCACCTACATTCGCTTTATCAGCGTACGATACTCTTTTTCTGAATAGTTAACTGTGCATTGCGTTTTGTCTACATCTAGAAGAACATACTAATCTACTTTAAATTAATGAGAATATTCCTTGAAAAAAAATGTTTCTAACTCGGAATCTTAATCGACGTTAACAACAGTGTCTCTTCTTTCACTAATAGATATTTACTAGAACAATTTATTAAATAATGGGTAATTCACAATGCCATTATGCTTCAGCTGGATCGAGTTCCAGTGTTTCATGCGTTTCATATTCGATGGATAGTATAAAACTCAGCACTGGTGCCATTGTTGGTATTGTCATTGGTTGTGTTATGGCCGTCGTTCTCATTATTATAACTATTATTCTTATTATTCGTTGTCTGAGAAGAAACAGCACCGATATGGTGTATTCTAGCCCGTATTCATATCCTATGCACAACCAACAACAGCAGTCACAACAGCACCAAATGTATATGCGAAGCAGTTCACCTTCATATACTGAAGCAACTGCAAACAAAAATCAAAACCAACCATAACAAGTGTTTATTAAATATAAATAATTGGTAAAGAGAAAATAAAACTTCTTCTTTCATGTTGTAATAATATTTAAAAAATTCCGATTAA